GAACCCTGGCTTGGAAAAGAGAGAATGCAGGACAGTTACGGAGTGCTTGAAGAGAATTTCAACTTCCATTTTTTTTCCCTCTCTCATTGTGTGTGGTGTATATTACAATCAATGAGAATAGCATACGTACGTAATTTAGAAGTCCAGGTATTGGGGGTGCAGCCTCACAATTTCCTGCGAATGCCGTGGCACGGTCAGAGCAGTGCAGGGCCCCATTCGGAGCACGGCAAGGCTGTGGGCGGTGCGGGGCCCTCCTGCCCGTGGGGCTCCTCTGTGAGTGGTGAGTGAGTTGAGCTATGATAAGGGTTTTGGGCAGAGCCCATACATAGGAAACACTATTATAATATTCATTTAGCCACTTGTTATTTCCGAAGGATACTTATTTATTATACTTCTCCCCAGTGGACTTAAAATGCTCACAGACAGACATTTAGTAAAACAAGATTTTTCTTTCTCAGTGTAGGTATGAGTTGAAAAAGGAAATAAAAAGAAAAATGCAGTCAGGAGTCAGGCTCAGGCTCCTAAGATTTTATCCATTGTGCTTATACATGGGAAGACTGTTTTATTCTTCAGTGTCTAGTGTCATATATGCAGAGAGAGATACAATCAAATATATAAGATGATGTTTGTAAGAAAGAGACAAAACCACTGGGCCCAAAGAGACATACCCTCCCACACCCTGGGTCCTCAGAAGAGAAGCCAAGGTTTGAACCCAAGCCTCTTGCATTTTTTACTTCTTGTCTTTTCCACAGCTCAGAAAGACCTCTGCTATCTATCTGGTTTACATTTGATATCAATGATCCTTAGTTCCTAAACAATTCTGGACTAATGGTGTAGTCAGTTTAATTTTCTATTCATGTTCTTTAAAGCCTATAACTTGATTTATATCCAATCAAAGTACTTGTTGAGTCCTGGAATGAAATGGATTTTTTCCCCTGATTCTATGTTTAGTGTACATTCAACATAGAAAGAACCTTTAAAAGACAAAGAAGGGGTGAAGGAAAATTGGGAAAGAGAAAGAATATAGTTTTACTGCAGAGGCTTAATATAGCAAAACATTGGATGACTCAGTAGATCTCTCTGCTCCCCCCACCTCCCAACCACGGCTCCCTCCTGGCTCCTCTGAGCCTGTGGCTGGCCCCTACCAGCTAGCCCAGGGGCTACTGTTTTTAACAAGACAGACTTCATGAACTGCAAAGTATTTCTGAGCCAAGAATAATTAGAGCCATTTCTGCGTGTTGAGCACTGTGCATGGCAAAGGGAATTTCAAAACACAGTGTATGTGCAGTCCAAAGAACTGGTATTGGACATACCATTAACTGTGTGTGTGTGTGTGTGTGTGTGTGTGTGTGACAGAGAGAGAGAGAGAGAGAGAGCGAGCGAGCACGCGAGCAGTTTCTCCTGATCTATATCTACAAGGTGGGGTTGATGGTTCTCATCCTGTCCACCCTTCTCATGGTTGTGGTGGTCATGTATGTGTCCTAATAGAGTTTGAAACTTTTTTTGTAAATACTATAGCCCTGTGCTGTTACTACAGAGGAAGATAACACTCAGTTTGTGGTTAAAAAGAATTTCAAACTATGCAGAGAATCAGAAGTAGCACATGTGAATCAGTGAGCAATACCAAACCGAAGTTGATACCACATTGTGAGCAGCACGTAACCTCATAGCTTGATGATAACACGTGAGGCCTGATACAGCACTCATTTACAGAATCTTGCATGTTGGAAGAGTATTTGAGACCCAGTATGATGATGGTAGCGAGTCTTAATTGACAAAAGCTGGCATCTGAACTGGTTGAAGGAATCAAATGTTAGAATTTTTGAATTGCTAGGGAGCTTTAAAGACTATGCAGCCCCCAGAAAATGTCAAATGGCACTAATTTTTTTTAAAGCTCTCAAAAAAGTCATCATAGTTAAAATGGTGTGTGTGCATGTGTGTGTGTTTTAACTTGAAGGTGACTGGGTTAATGTAATTAGGAGTTTGGATTTCTGCTAGCCTGGAAGAAACATAGATATTTTTCAGTAGCTTGTCATTTATTGTAAGTAACTGCTTTCTCTTTCCTGGCGGCTGTGGAGCTGCCCCACTCGGTGTGCTTCTTGGGTCATGCAGGGAAACTGGACAGGCCGGGCCTTTATCTGCCCCACTGGATCTGCCTCAGGGCTTAATCGGGCCTGAGCCGAGATGAAAGTACACTGCCTGGGCCTCAGGCCAGGGGGGTGGATCCGGTATTAGATCCTAGGCAGGAATCTTGTGAAGTGGGGCGATCTCAGCAGAACATCTCTGCGGGCGGGCCCCTGGCGTCAGAGCTTCTGGCTTCCTGTCTCTCAGGGCCTGGTGAGTGTGAACGGGGAGCCAAGTCTCTCAGGTGAACTTCCTGCGGGCAGCGGGAGAGTCTCCTACTCACAAAACGTATCATCAACTCATAATACACTGCTTTTGCAGCCACAACCGCACCTGGGACTGCCCATCTCAGCTGCTGTTGCTGCAGCGGGGCCTCCCTCCCACCCACTTCCCTTGTGCTCACTGCCAGGCCCTAAGTGTGTCACTTGTCGGAGGTCAGGGCTGGGGCACTGTGGCTGCACAGGGGGAGCTGGGCCTTCCGTCCGTCCCTTCAGTCCAGGAGCCCGGACCAGGCTGCCCCTGCTCTCCTCAGCTGCCTCCTGGAACCTGCAAGCGCTGCTTCTGCGTGCTGTCCCTTGTAGGGAAGCCCCTCTTCTGTGTTCCCGCTGCTTGAGGTCTGAGTCAGGGCTCAGGTCCTTGGAGGTTTGATTCTGAAGTGTGACACTTAGGGGAACAGAAGAGGAAAAACATCACTTTGACTTTGTTTATTTTTCACCCTAAGGATGTGTGCCCCAATGCAAAACAGACACAACTCTGAAACCAAACAACTCACCCCCCCGCCCAGTCTGTAACTTAGATACTGGGGTAGCCTAGGAACCTAATAACATTTCTGTGAGAAAAGCATTCTGAGTCCCAGACATTGGACTTACAAATGAAGGTTTGTAAAATATACACAACTTATTAATGGATTATAATTAATAATTAATTACCATTAATAAACGACATTAATTAATTAGAGTGTGCCTGTGAAGCAGTAAGCACAGTCCCTGACGCATAGTAACCTACAGTAAACGTGAGCTGCTACTATTGCCACCAGCAGCAGCATGTTTAGGATAGAAAGAATCATACTTGCTGTATTTATGCTCATATGAATGAGCCATTAAAAGAACACACACACACACAGTGAAGGCTGTGATTGATTCCAAACACATGGGGAGATGAGCATTAATACTCCTGCTAGAGTACTGAGAAATGCTGGGGATAGTGACAGATACCCAAAAGGTGTGATGGGCCTGTGACAAATGAAGTCACACTTTGGTTAGAGATGTAACACGAACAGTCCTGAACCAAGAACAATGAGTTAAATGTAGTGTCTGTGACCACAGCTGAAATAGAAGTTTGTTCATTTGCCCGTTCATTGAATAAGCATTTATTGAGCATTTAATATGTGCCAGGCACTGTGCTGTTCAGAAAAAGAGACTGGGTGCTAGATACTCTAAAGAGGGAGGCTTCAGCATGTAGGAGGGGTTTTTAAACAGATAAGCACTGGATAGTAAGTCTAGACTAGAACAGCAGGAGCAAAGGCAGTTTTAGAATTGGGGCAGAAAGCCTTGCAGCCACAGCGAGGAACGTGTTTTGTCTTTACTTATAAACCTTGAAGAGCATTGTAAAAATAAACAAAATCCCTTTGGACCTTTCGATCCTAGATAACAGGCTCTGTTTGGAGCTAGTTCACCAGCCTGCTGATAAAAGTATGTGTCCTCTTGGTCTGTTGATGAAACAGCTTAATCCTGGAGGCCGGGTTCTGAATGCACTCTGACCCTGTGCACGCCCGTGTACCTCCAGCAGTGAAGGGCCCAGGCTGCTGGGTTCCAATTGGGGACACAAAGGGATCAGAGGTCATGACCCTTGTTCTCAAGGACTCAAGCCAGTGTCCTTCGTCAATAGTCCTTACAAGGGGATCACGTATGGTTTGATAATGGAAGTGGCTATTTATAGAAGCTACATAGAGTGACTACAGGGTAGGGCAAAAATAGGTTCACAGTCGTGGGTACATGAATCACAGAAGTTATTCTTGTATTATTTATTAATTATTGTATTATTTACCATACAAACCACTGTAAACCTACTTTTGCTCCGTACTGTATTGCTTTTCTTCATCATATTCCTCCTCCTCTCTCTGGAGGGTCTCCTGTGCTGGTTTTCTTTCTCAGGGGTTACATTTTAATTCTGCAATCATGCATCCCTTCCTGTGCTTGTGTTTTCCTTTCGCTGTTTACATAGAGGCTTCCCATTCTGTGCCACCAAAGGAATAAAGTCAAGTCAGAGTCTCTGGATTGTCTTGAACAGATGATCCAAAGTTTAATTCTGAAGACCAAATTCTCTGCTTGTTTCTACAGTTGTGTCGCTTTGAACAGATTTTTCTTTTGCATCTTTTCTGCATTAACCATGGTGCTTCCCTGCCCTCGCATCCTATACACAAATGTTGTTACTTTGGAAAAATTATTTAAAGGTTCAAAGGAATTTAATGAGATATAAATTCTTTTGTGAGCAATTCATCTGTGTTAAAAAGAGAGGCAACATCATCTCCAAATGACACGGATACACTGTTGACTCTCAGACACTTTTAGACAGCTTTTTCATTATCTTCTTATTAGAGTTCTTTTCCTCCCCTGTAGAATAATTTAGCAGTTTATTTCCCCTGATAAGCAACATTCTTCTAATTTACTAAAATACATTGTATGAAACATATTTTGATAAAAATCTGTGTGGACTGGAAAATTTTCCCTTGATCGTGGTAAGGGCTGTGAGAGAGAGAGAGAGAGAGAGAGAGAGAGAGAGAGAGTGTGTGTGTGTGTGTGTGTGTACGTGTACACACTCTCAACAGCCTCAGCTGTGACCAGCCTCCTTCAAAGTATTTTGGTCTCTCATTTCAGCCACAATTACAAGTTCATCCGAAAATGATGACCGGAGTGGCTCCAGTTTGGAATGGAATAAGGATGGAAGCCTAAGGTTAGGGGTGCAGAAGGGAGTGCTTCATGATCGCAGGGCAGATAACTGTTCCCCAGTGGCAGAAGAGGAGCCCACTGGGTCAGCGGAGAGTGTGCCGCCCAAAGCTGAAGCCTCGGTTGGAGATGGTCCGGTCCCTTATTCTCAGAGCTCCAGCTCGTTAATAATGCCACGGCCCAACTCAGTTGCAGGTAAGGCCGCACTTCTCCTTGGAAGGGTTATCTTACTGGGTCTGAGGTGCCCTGTGTTCACTCTTTTCACTTGGGACACTAATCCAGACACAAACCAGCTTTGTGTTCATGGGTCGGGCACTTAACTTTCCTAGACCTCAGTTCACCTATCTGTAAACATGATAAGGCTGCACTAAATTGTCTTTAAATGATCCTTCTGCTCTGGAATTCTTTAAATCTGGTATTTCGACTATATGGCCCTTTGTCTATGAGGGAAGAAAGTACCAAAAATTCTGTCCTTGTTTTTGTTATTTTACACCTGAGTAAATTTATGACTTTGTACTACATCTTGGTAAACAGGGATCATGCTTTTGAGTGACGTTGTTAATAGCAGCTCAAAGAATGCCTATGTCTAATCCAACTTCCAAACATAGTTTTTATAATCAAGGTCCATCCTAGAGATGGGAGGTCCAGTGTCTGAATAATTCTGTTAGGAGGGATCTCACAGCTGAAAACATAAGCAGAGGCAGTGAGAGCTCTCAGTCAAGGAACTGAAAATAGGCACGACGGGGCAGCTGGACCTAGAACACGATCCGAAAGTGGTGCTGTTGCCAGATGCCTGGTCAGTGGGTGGTTGGCAAGCAAGGAGAGTAGTTTGGGGCGGGTGGGGGGAGGAGCTCTGCATCTGAGCTGTCATGCCTGCTTTTAGGTCCTGAGTTTCAAGAGTTCCCTTGGAATGAACTTAGAAGAATTTACATAGAAGAGGAAGTTGTTTGGTCATTTAGAAAATTTTTGTTTTATTTATTGATTTTTAGAGATAGAGAGAGAGAGAAACACCAATTGGTTGTCCCACTTACTTGTGTGTTCGTTAGCTTCTCGTATGTGCCCTGACTGGGGATTGAATCCACAACCTTGTTGTATCGGGATGATGCTCTAACCAATTGAGCTACCCAGTCGGGCCTTGTTTTAGTCATCCTTTGTTACCAATGCAGTGCTTAAAATTTCTCCTCTACTAACGCATGGGCCCAGGTTCTCTCTTTCTACATCAAAGGATTTTTCTGTGATTTGTACTGTTCCTTCTGGATGAGGCAGGTCACTCTGGTGGTTGTTGGTTGTTTTTTTAACAATGGAACTCTAAAGCAGCTGATAAATAAATTGCCCTGATGGGAAAGTACTGAGGCATAATTCTAATTTGCTTCAAAGGAAATACCATGGCCTTGTTCCAGAGGAGGGGTTTGGCACATCTTGCCAGAGAGAAGTACGGGAGAGCTTTATGTGTGTTGAGTGATGGTTTTTCCAGAAGCCTGTGTGCCCTCCCACCACCATCCCACTGCTACAGCCTAACATGTGGCACCCAAGGCAATGGTGACCGGATTTAGCGACTTATGATGGATGCTTCATTTGTATTATCCCAGAACTTGATAGCTTTTCTGACTCCCACAAAATAGCAAACTTGTATTCAATTTCATGAAGCTATTTTAAAATTAGGAAACACATCGATAAATTAATTCAGCAGTGTTAAAAGCACCCCATTTGCAGTGACGTGTTCTGCTTGATGTTCTTTCATGTGGTCTCCTGCCATGTGAAATGACAGTGGGTGTGAGCTGAGTGTTTCCAGGCGTCTGCAGTGATTGTGCAGCAGGGCTTTCTGGTGTCTGCTGTGTTCATTCATTAGCTCCTCCGTGTGCACTTCAGCAGGGCCTCCTGTGGAACTGGGAGAGTTTTTCCTCTGGGTCTGAGCAGTGACTGCCGGGCCTAATGGGTTTGCTCATTTCTTCTGTATTGCACATTTTATAAACGAAAAGCATATTTTGAAAGGAAGTAGGCAAGGCCTTTACATCATAGTATCTGTCGACAAGCTGGAAGTCTGGTAGATTTTTCATTGTCCACCCGCCTACCCCTAAAGCTTGAACCTCAGTTAAGAAGGAATAGCCAGATTTTTCAAGTATTTCTGAAAAGAATAAAAGATTCAGGGTGTCTATACCATATGCCGCACTGTTTGTCTAGTGATTAGAAGGCAGGCTGCCACAAACAAGGCAGTGGGCAACACTAGATGTTGGAAGGATTACAGTCATATGTGAAGGACCATATATTATAACCTCTCGGAAGTGTTTGCACATGAGGTCCATGTAAACACAAATAAATGTCCATTTGCTAGGAAACATCAACTGACTTGATTTGGTGTGTGGAGAGTATGGACTGGCAGGTAACGGCCTGTGTTCACGCGGATACTGGCCTCAAGGGTCCCGGAACCCCTGGGGAGGGAGGGTGCAGAAACGAGTTCCTGAGGTTGCCAGCTGTGACTGACACTGAGCCTGTCACAGAGCACTGTGGCTGTCTATTCACTGTTAACCATCTAGTACAGTGACATTCTTATGGACAAGATCATAAAAGTAAGTTGGCTAGGTTTGGAGATTGAGTATACAGAGGGCTCCTCTGTAAATGGCTAGTTATAGTGGGGTTGGTTTCGAATGCCGCTCCCAGGTCCGTACAGCATGTCACACCAGAATGGACGGCGCGGACACCTACTCCTTTCTTTAAAAGAACAATGAGAAGCCTTTAAAACGCTGTCTTACATCATTTAGGAGTTGGGTAATTGGGTTCAACTATTTTTGACTATTTTTCCTTTTGAAATACTCCCTAAGTGGATCACAGAACACTGTTTAATTTTCCAGGAGACCAACAAACATAATTACTAGCCAGTTTTCTTAAAACTCTAACTGGTAATTGCCTGGACTTAATGGCATCTACTTTTGGTAGGTTAGTTCATGGTGTTTCAACAGATGTTTCTCTTTATGGAGCTTAGAGGAGTCTCTCTGTGCCTCCCCTTCCACTCCACCCGACCCCACCCCACCTCTCTCCATCCCACCAAAAAACTCATCTCTGAACATATTCCAATGTACTTCTCACCCAGATGTTGGACACAATGTGTGTGCAATAAATATGTAATTAATTTAATTGTAGACATGTTCTCAATAGGTTTATTGCAGCATGAAATTATTGCTTTACCTCTGATTTTTGTCAGCTCTGAATACTGTGTAGGATTTTGAAAGCATTTAGTGTTAAATACCAGAAGCAAGTCTGATTCTGGTACTGGTAATGCCTGAGAACCTGCCGAAGGCACATGCAAGAAGGTGGAGTGGGGCGCACGCACCAGCTCTGCGAGGTGGGACCCTCGGGTGCAGAGCTGGGCAGCTGGGGCCCCCCTGCTCCTACTCTGCAGTCCTTCTCTGTCCATGGCTTTGACGCACCCTGGAAGGCAGAGGCAGCCGGCGCCTGGTGACCTGCAGGCCTGCTGAGTGTGGTCCACTTCAGCACAGCTTAATCGTATTAACTGTGCAGTTGCTGAGGCATCTTGTTGCACACTTTGGAGCTGAGGCCGTGGTGACTGGAAATCTGAAAACAGGCATCTGAAACTTCATCTCTGGCCTCTGTGTCAAACAAGGGCTTTTTTGGCAATCTCTTCTTTGCAATAATTTAGCCCTTTATAGCCTCCAATTCTTGATTCTTTTGGTTGTCACAGAATTATAAACTGAATTGTCATGTTTTAAGAGGTCAGAAGAAGAAGGGAAATGGGAAACCCTTTAGGGCTCCAAGCATCTTTTGTGTTCCCCTGCACCGAAGCAGCAGGTCAGACATTCATCAGCTGGCTTATGGGTTACGCTGTTGGTTGTCCCTTCTACCTCAACCCTGGGCATGTGGGGTATTCATGGTGAATATGCCAAGGAGAGGGCCAGATCCCTCTCCTTGCTGAGGCCCAGGTCCCCCGAAATAACATTCCAAGGCACATCATTATAGGAAGCCAGGGTGATGGGTGTGGTCGTGAAGGACCTGGGGAGAAGCCAGAGGCTGCTGTTGGATTCCCATAGCTTGGGTCCCTTTGGCAGTCCTGCATAAGGAATCAGTGGAATCTTTCCGACAGGAGAGATTGCATGAAGTATTGATGTGAATGTGCACAGAGCATGTGAAGAGGGTGTGGATATGACTGAGAGGATACAGAAGCATAAGTGTGTGCTATTGTAAAGTTAAGGTGTCGCGTGTTTCTCCATGGACTGGGAAGGTGAGCAGGGCACACAGTCGATTGCCCTTTGGAGAATGCAGCGCAAGCGGACACACTGTCACAGAGCCAGGCCATGGAGCCACCCAGGTGCTTGTTGAACGAAGGAGAAGGATGGTGCTCACGGAGATCTAGGAAAGGACAGAGGCCTTGGGAGGGAAAATAGGAAGGGCCCAGACCAGGCAGGTGGCGCCGGTCGGCCGCTGGATGCTGGGTCAGAGCCGGGGGGTCTTCAGCAGACAGATGGCCCAACTTGACTTCTGTCCCTTGAGATTTGGTCCCACTAATGATTTCTCCAGTACTTAGAAGCCTAAGTTAGCCTTGGAATGTAACTCCCTCTTCCTCCTCATTTGCCCTCAGATGACATCTGTGTTTTATTATCCTGAAAATCATCGTATGTCTAAGAGCCATAGTACTTTATATTGGGCCACTTAACCCACAAACCAAATTAAATTAAATGTATTTAGAGTTCTCTTGCTGTGACCCTAGGATGTGTTTGTAATTAAGAGGAGTCTTTTTTTAAAGACAAAAACACTGTATATTTGCTTCTAAGATTTGCTGAGAATAAACTTATTTTGCATTAGGTATTTTTGTAATACAACTATGTCTATGTTTGAATAGACCCTAAATCCTTTTTAAAAAGGTAGCTATGTGCTATAAATCTTACTGATTTGATCAGAGGTAAATGTGATTACTTATTTTTAGAATTTTTAAAAGTATATACATATGGAATATTATAATATAATATGTATACACACACGTATATAAATATTTGAAGCTTAGGACTGCTTATTCCCATTAAAGTCCACATGGCTACTTATATTGCCAGGAACTGGCTTTTAGGGCTGTGAGCGCTGTGGAATTGTACGTGTGGAATCTGCTCCCCTAATTACCAAGGCTGGGGTTCCGGCACTGGTGGCCGGTTCTCAGGGCTGCAGAGAACACTAGTACCATGCTGCCTGTTTGCAGTGAGTACTGGAGCTTTTCAGAGTGACACTTGATTGTCACATTTCTTCATAAAAATTTATGGTGAAGTTTGTCTATGTCCAGGAATCGTGGAGACTGATAGCAACCATATCAACATGCTTTCATTTAAGAATGAGCAGCACTTTATTTTTTTACCACTTTTTGGTTTACAGCATTGCTGGGAAAATCAACCTGGGTGGGCGAATAAAACCAAAATCACATTGAAGTACAATTTGTTGAATGCCTGAACAGAATCGCTTATAAATTATATAGTTTATAATTGTAGCTTGGATATGATATTAAACTCAACTTTGAAGAGACTAAACTTCAGTTTCATATTACAGCGACCAGCTCGACCAAATTGGAAGATTTGAGTTATTTAGATGGGCAGAGAAATGCTCCCCTTCGAACGTCAATTAGATTACCATGGCACAATACGGCCGGAGGTAGGGCGCAGGAAGTTAAAGGTATTTATCTTTCCATCTGCTGACACATGGATATGCTGAGCTCCTTTTCTAAATGCTGAAAATCTGTGATAACCAGCGTTTAAACCAACTACTATTAAAAGATGATGTGAATGGAGGGCACGTGTGGTAAAAGTTTTTCTGGAAGCTGTGCCAGGGGCCATCCTTAACAATTTTGGACTTCTTAAAATATGTGATAACTTCCTTTTGGAGTTGAAAAGTAATTCTGCAACATGTTACTTTGAAGTGAGGAGTAGTTTAACACTCCCTCTTTTTTTTTTTTTTAAATCAACAAAGAATCAGCTGGGTTTCACTTCCTTGGGCTGTGATGCCGTCTCCTTCATCCGCCTGTAACGCACAGTTGTGTTGTGCAGAGAGTCGCCGTCAGGGCGGAGCGCCGTGACCCTGCGATGGGGGCTGGGCCCTGTCTCCAGCGAAGGCACATTTTCATTTTACTCATGTAGCAGTGGAAGAAATGTATCTTAAATGCTCTTTGAGATAAACTGATGAGACATGGCTTGGCCCTTGAAATCACTCTCTCTCGTTCTCTGTGTCAGCCTTGAGTCGTGAGAATAATTTAGAGGCATAAAAGGACCAGAAAGTCATTTTAATAGAATACTTTATAGTACCCATAGTATATTATAATTAATGAGGCCTTACAGAAGTATTAATAGGATCAGATTGGAAATACAAATCCCTTTTAGGGTAAAACTACAGACTATACCAAGTATAACATATATGTAAGGATAAACTGAGCTTTTTTAGTGTATAAAATGATGGCATTCATTGAAAATAATGATCTTTCTTTTCCTAAGCACGATTTGCTCCCTACAAGCCACAAGACATCCTGCTGAAGCCCCTGTTGTTTGAAGTACCGAGCATAACAACAGACTCTGTGTTTGTGGGACGGGATTGGCTCTTTCACCAGATAGAAGAGAACTTGAGGAACACAGAACTGACAGAAAATAGAGGCGCAGTGGTTGTTGGAAACGTGGGCTTTGGGAAGACGGCGATCATTTCTAAGCTGGTGGCACTGAGCTGCCACGGAAGCCGCATGAGGCAGATCGCTTCCAACAGCCCCAGTTCATCACCTAAAAGTATGTCCGTGTTTAACTGCTTGTCTGGCTCATCATATTAGCATCAGATAGATGGAGGAAATTCCTATTTGGATAGATGTAAATTCCCATAAATTCCCAATTTTCCTCAAGTTGTTCCAGCTGCTGTATCAGGGCTGTGATTACATGTTGGAGAACTGTTTGGGGGTCTGCCTCTCGTAGTGCCTGTGCAGCTATGACCGGGGGTGAGGCGAGCCTTCCCTCAGGTCTCCTGCTCTGTATGAACAGAGATAAGGCAGCGAGGCCTGGTCAAGTGCCCTGGGGAATTTTTGGTCCTAAAACCAAGGCACGTAGGCTCCTAGCAGAACCTACCAGAAGGAGTGTGTGCTCTGCAGCCTTTGTTTTGTCTTCTATACGGGATTTACCAAAAACATAAAAACTAACTTAGAAATGGAATGGAGTTGCCAAAGATTTGACCATTTGTGGCTTCTTTAACGTCTAATAAACACATGAAAAGAAAGTGTCTCTAACATATTGAACCAGGAACAAGTGAGCCATGCAAGATGATTTTTTTAAAACCAAAAATAATTTAATAAAGGAAATGAGAAACAGCAGTTCTCCGGAGAGGACAACTGGGTGGGTGGGAGACGGCAGAGGAGGGACCGGTGCTCCCACGTGCACGTTTGCATTTGGTGCCTGTGTGCACTCATCACTTGTTAAAGTGCTCCCTGCCTCTAATGAAGACATACGTTCACTATCCCACTATGCATACCCCTGTTGTGATGTTGTAAACAGTGTAATTGGTCTCTCTTCTCTGCAGCTTCAGATTCCTCCCCAGATCCTCCGTTCACTCCGCTGCTCTCACCGAGCACTTCTACAGGTGGTGCCAATGTAGCTAAAACGGCCACTGGGTCGGGGTCTGATACTCCTGAAAACCAAAGACCAAGAGAGGATGCAGTGAAATACCTCGCTTCCAAGGTAACATACTCCTGGTCTATGAGAACCTCCAGAGAGAGTGAGCTTGGCTCCTGAAAATTGAATTATGAAAGAGATCTTACAAAAGGGACAGCAGTTGCTTAATGCAGAAGTATAGCCTTTAATAAAAATGCGATAGGAGTACTACAAATGAAAAAAGCATGACTGAAAATAAGTATCTTAAGACATTGGCAGTAGACTTGTGTTCATCCTAAATGATGGATTGAAAATTCCTCAGTCAGCAGCAGGTAGTTGCGCTTGCCACAGATGCACCCTTTAACGGGGCCCTCCGGCCACCTCTGCCCATGCTTTTGCCTGGGGCCCTCGGTTCCCTGAGTCTTTCTGTCTGGCATTTTCTGCGGTGTTGTAAAAGAGACTTGGCTGACTTTCCCTTCCTAAATTTATGCTTGTCAAGGTCCTTCCGAAATTTTCCATATGCTCAGCTTCCATCACAGGTTCACCAGCCACCCTCCTGTGTTAAATCTGTCACGTCTCGCTCCTGGTGAGCCGCTTGGGTCTCCCCAGCAGCGGCGGTGTGAGGGGTGGAGCTGGAGAACCAGCGGGCGTGGGCAGTGATGAGGGGCGTCTGGTGAGGAAGCCCCGGGGTAGAGGCAGGCACGGGGGGACTGCAACGAGTGCTTCTCTGCCCCAGATCCTTGCTCCTCACTTCTGCTTCCCTTGCATGGGCAGCCCTGACCCCTGACTCGTCCTGTGTTCACGAACAGGTGATACGGAGTGAGGGACGCAGGGCAGACGATAAAGCACCTGCCACCCTGATTTTTCACACCACTTTGTGACCCACGATAAGAAATAGATCTTACACTAGAGACCCAGGAGTGCTCACACACATGATCATACACACAACTGAAACGAAAGCATCGTAAGACTCTACTTATTCTTACGTCCTATAGTATTCATTTTTTTTAAAGTATTTGGCTCCATATTGATTTTCGCACCATTGGGTGCTGGGTAGACTGTGGTCCAGGCTGCTTCTTTGGGTGGTTTGTACAAGCCCTTGCGTCCTCATGGAGCCCTGCTAACTCTGTCCAAGGGAGGGTGGAAGAGCTATCGTCTTTCCTGAGTGTTGCTGATAAATTTAGTCTAGAACGGAAGTCCCCTGAAGGTTCCGAATTGGCCACAACTACTCTTGCCACTTGCTTTTTAAGAGTGTGCAGACGGATCTTTTGTTGCTAACCTGTGTCCCCCTGGCAAGGCGTCTAATCCATGCATCTGCTGCCCTCAGCTGTGACCCGTAGCTACTGGCTCTTCTATGTATGCAGGGGAGGTAGAGCTGAGAGGGACGGCATGGACTCAGATGCTGCTGAGAAACATAAAACACCTGGCACTATGTGTTTTGACCTTTTTCACCTTCCTTACCTCATACTTATATTCCTTAGTTCATCTTCATTGGGCAAAGTATCAGGTTTTTCATTTCTCTGCAATGTACCGCTTACCCCCAAGACAGTTTGCATCTGCCACTCTCCTTGGGGACTCGAACGAATAACCTGCTGCCACTTCATACCAGTCCGTACAAAGGGGATCCTCGTCACCCTCTCAGGGCCTAGGGAGGAACCTCCCTTCTCCTCTTTGTCCTTGCACAGGATAGGCAGGGATTTGCTGATTTCCGATTTTGATTCTTCTGATTGTCCCTGTTGCACTTCTGCACCAGGTCCGTGTGGGGTGGGTGTGGAGAAGGGGCTGAAGGCTTGAGCCGGACTGCCTGGTCCTCCCGCCACGGGGAGGAAGCAGCTGTGACTTCCCAGCCCGGCCTTCCTAGCCACTGACTGGTGCTGACCCTAGTGCTAATCAAGACGGATTTGTGGCTGCAATGGGAAGGTTGCTTAGCTCTCGGCAAACTGCATGAATTGAATGAAGGAATCACTGAATCAATTAAGCTAAATTATGGCTCCATCTTGGGGAATGGAAGCAACGTATCTTGTTACCTGGCGGACACTAGAATTTGTCCCCATGTGAGAACGTGAAAGGAACTGTGTGAAGAGTGTGAAGTGACGCCGCTGGTCTGCTTCCCCCAGGTTGTGGCCTACCACTACTGCCAGGCCGACAACACCTACACATGCCTGGTGCCCGAGTTCGTGCATAGCATCGCGGCTCTGCTCTGCCGGTCCCATCAGCTGGCTGCCTACAGGGACCTGCTGATACAGGAGCCCCAGCTGCAGAGCATGCTGAGCCTCAGATCCTGCGTGCAGGACCCCGTGGCTGCCTTCAAGAGGGGAGTGCTGGAACCACTCACAAACCTGAGAAACGGTACCTCCCATGAGCCCCCCAGAACCCCTCAGTCTTAGTTCAGAGTCCCCAGGGCTTCTGTCCTCAGAAGGAGAGAGGGGTCAGCTGGGCCCTGGGGTGGAAGTGAGATTGGCACAGAGAGAAGATGTGGGTGAATCTGCGCCTCTCCTCCCCTTCCTCAGAACCGTCTTTCCAAGGACCCACCCAGTTTTAAACGAAACATCTCTAATAAGAATTAACTCGCCAGTCGAACATTTCCAAGGTAGCTAATTTGCAACTGTAGGTTATTTAGATGACTTACACTCCAGAAACTGTTGCCTGCATATTTTGCACTCCTGCATAGCAGGGGGATAAGCTGATTGTTTAGGAAAATTGCCGGCATGTTTTTTTCAGGGCCTCTGCTCAGCTGAGTTGAACCTAAAGCCATTTCTGGAAGTCTGATTTTGTTGCCCTTGAATATTCTACAAGATGCGGGGGGCGGGGCATTAGTGCTATAATAGGCCCTTTGGTTTTACATCCTTCCTCCTCCTCGCATTTTGCGCTAGTTTACCTGCTTCCATAGCACTTCTTTCAAAAGGTGCTACAGAGAGGGAATTGAAACAGATGTCATCATGTCTCCTCAGTTCCCTGGGCAGAAAGTTCGTGCTAATAAATAGAAAACTAGATTTAGGTTTGTAGGGAAGAACCGTGTTCTAGGAATCTCTACAGCAGAGCTCTCACCCCGGCTAGCTACGTGCCTCGGGCTGGACGCTGTGCCCTTTGGGGGTGACTTTTCCTCCCCAGAAATCCACCGAAGGTGCCCCATCTGGGGAGGTGCGGGGCTGAGGGTCTTTCCCAGATTTCCTCTGTATGTTATCTTCGCTGTACTCACCCCAGAGACAGTAGTTTATGAAGCGCTAACTGTAATACATGGGCAAAATTCTGCTAAATATGTGTAATGCAATATGTTTCTGAAAACTGTTTTGTGCGAAGTGGTTTTCTCTTTGGCTCTGTGCTCCAGTTTCCATAATGCATTTAATAGAAAATATGCTTCTGCGTAAACTGTTTCTTCTGCCATATGTAAACATTTTTAGTTTTTCCTAACACTTTAAACTGTGCATTAAAATACAGTAGGTGGGGCCATCTTATAGAAATGTATAATTTCTTAATTAAAAAAATATTTTATCCTTTAGAGCAGAAAATTCCTGAAGAAGAATACATTATTTTGATAGATGGCTTGAATGAAGCTGAGTTTCATAAACCTGATTATGGAGATACACTTTCTTCATTTATTACCAAGATTATCTCTAAATTTCCTGCCTGGTTGAAGTTGATTGTGACTGTAAGAGCAAATTTTCAGGTAAAAAAAAAAAGAACTTTCAAATCTCTTTCCAAGTCCTTATTCTCAAATTTTACAGTGATTAATACTAACAATTTAAATTGTTTTAAACCACTTAGCTGCTGAATTTAAAACTATTATTATGACTTTGAAATATTAGTGCACAGAACCCCAAATGGGTGAAACTCTAACCTTTTTACCCCTCAAGGCACATTTATCAAGATGTCAGGTAAGTTTTCTATTAGCATTCAGCTGTATGTGCGCTTCTAAAGTGGAAGTGTCCAGCCCTGTGCTACCATCGCTCAGTCTGGGGAGCTGTTTGAGGTGTGTGGCTAACAGGTCTGCTAGAATTTAAAGTTATTCCTGCTAGTAGTTATTTACATGGGTATGCAGAGGGACTTTGTTTCCTTTTCTTTTTTTTTTTTTGTATGAAGAAAAAAGGGACGGATGAAGAAGGGCATTTTTAAGACCTATTCTGGAAAAGGTCTCCCCCCCCCCCCCCGAAAACTTAAACATGAGATAACATTTTCAGTGAGATGAAGGGTGATTTTTTAAAATTTTCCTCATGTTTCCCCTCATTTGAACCCTAAAATTGTATCTCAACCATTGACTCCTTCCACCTTGCTCATTTTTAGTAAAGACATTAAATTTTTGCCCTTTTATGATACTTATTTACAAGTAGCATTTGGGCCCTGACCAGTGTGGCTCAGTTTGTTGGACCTCATCCCACAAAGGGAAAGGTCTCCGGTTCAATTCTTGGTCAGGGCACATGCCTGCAGGTTGGTCCCTGGTCGGGGTACATGAAAGAGGCAACTGATCAGTGTTTCTGTCTCTCACATTAATGTTTCTCTCCCTCTCTCTCCCCCCCTTCCCCTTCTGCCTAAAAATAAATAAAATTTTTTAAAAAGTAAAATAAAATAATCAATAGCATTTGGGTTCTTTTATTCCTCATTGAAAGTGGCATGAGAACGCCGTCAAACTTTTTTAACATGGAATTTTGATTGGTGCAGAATCTAGCAGTCAGCAGAGCGCAAGGACAGGAGTCCTGTGTTTTCCGTACCAGCTGTGTAAGTTTCCAGAAGTTTAGTTAGCATTCACATAAAATGGGAGTCATTGTACTCAGCCTGCCCCCTGTAGCTGTTACATTCAATGAGGACATGCACTTAAATCCCTCAGAAATGATAGTGACACGTTTAAAAAAGCCCACCAAACTCATCTCTGCTGTCAAGTGTCAGGATGGTGCTTATCTTCAGGACGGGAGAGACACTCAGGGACAAGGTGCTGACAGGGAGCTGGTGTTCTCTACCGAGCTGCTGGTTACCAGGTAGATTTTGACTTTGTGAAAATTAATGGCACTGTGCCCTTACATTTGTGCACTTGTGCATGCATTACTACAGTTTTAAAAGTTTACTACAAACCAGCAACTTAAGAAAACGATAGTGGGCTCTACTAGAGTAGGGCACCGTGTGACAGCAGGCTGTCCCCAGGCACTGCGTGAAGGCCACGTCGGGTTTCCTGGTGCAGTTATGCAGCCCTGGTATCTGCACTAAGAGGGATGCCTCTTATCTCTGTGTCTGGCTGTGTTCTTAGGGATACAGTGGTGGTTTGTGTTTGTCCTTGTTATATAACCAGTTGCACAATGTAAGGATTATGGGTATCAGGTCACCTCCGGGCCTCACTGCCCCTCTGCGGGTTCGGCCAGGTGGCATTGTTGCTGGGGCTCTTACATCTCTCTTGGCTCTGAGTCTTCAGATCAGGGCTTTGGAAAAGCCTTAACTGATTCAATCTCGCATCGGGATTTCTTTCACATAAGCTTTTTATCTTCACCTTATCCTATTACATGTTTTAATACGAAATAATGAGTCCCTGTAATCCACGAAAATCCTCCTTGAAAGAAAACTAGTGAATCTGGTTTGAAATGCAGCTGACATAAAAAAAAGAAATCTCTGTGGAATGACACTGTGGTGGTTTGGGGGCTTTTTTTCTTTTTCTTTTTCAGGAAATCGTAAGTGCGCTGCCGTTTGTCAAGCTTTCCTTAGATGACTTTCCTGACAACAAGGACATTCACAGCGACCTGCATGCCTATGTCCAGCACAGGGTCCACAGCAGCCAGGACATCCTCAGCAATATCTCCCTGAACGGCAAGGCCGATGCCGCCCTCATCGGGAAAGTGAGCAGCCACCTGGTGCTGCGGAGCCTCGGCTCCTACCTGTACCTCAAACTCACCTTGGACCTCTTCCAGAGGGGACACTTGGTCATCAAAAGTGCCAGCTACAAGGTGGTGCCCGTGTCTTTGTCTGAGCTCTATCTGCTGCAGTGCAACATGAAGTTCATGACCCAGTCCGCCTTTGAGAGGGCACTTCCGATTTTAAACGTGGCCCTCGCGTCCCTCCACCCCATGACGGACGAGCAGATCTTCCAGGCCATTAATGCCGGCCACATACAAGGGGAGCAGGGATGGGAAGACTTCCAGCAGAGGATGGAAGCCCTGTCCTGCTTCCTCATCAAGAGGCGGGACAAAACCCGCATGTTCTGCCACCCGTCCTTCCGGGAATGGCTGGTGTGGAGAGCAGATGGGGAAAACACTGCCTTCCTGTGTGAGCCCAGGTATGACAGGACGCGTTCTGCCAGCTCTTTGCAGGGGTCTGTTGTGCACGTGGGGAAGGAATTTCGAACGTGACTCACCTTTTTTCTTTCTTTTTTTTTTTTTTTTTAAATGGAAAGACAACACAGAATGAAAATTTCAGGAACAATGGAAAATTTTCTCTGCTACTCACCAAAAGCTTCCTCTCTTTAATTGCTAGAACTTTAGGACTCCTCAGTACGCTTGGGTGAAAGCGAGGCTAGGCGATGCCTTTTGGTGCTGTGTCTGTGCCATTCAGTCCCTGTTACAGGAGCCGTCCGTGGCGGGAAGGTGTGATATCAGCCCCAGGAAGCAGCGGGCTACTCTAGCAGCTGTTCCCAGCTCACTGTCTTCCCCTGGGGCCTGTGGGCTGACTTGGGCTGCTAACACCTCTCCCCACCTGCTAACTCATGAGCATGGAGCTTGTCCCCAGGATCAGATGTGGCTGCTGACCCAGAGGGGAGCACAGTGATTACACTGTGCGGCCTCGTTTTGCATTTGCGGTTTAGCTCAGTGTAACAGACTGGGGTGTGGGTCAGGAGGTCCGAGGTTCCAGTCTCAGATCCCCATTGGTGAGATGGTGGTGGGGCAGCTGCGTCCACGAAGGTTCCACTGAGGGATTTGCAGCAGAGCGGCACCGGGATGTGGTTCTCCTTACTGCTCAGGGGAAGAGGTGGTGGTAAACCTGCCTGTTGTGTGGCCTGATGCCAGTCAGGGTGAGGGCAGGGGGTTTGGAGGTGCAGGTGCTTTCAGATGAGGGTATGTTCACACCACCACTACTGCCTGGCCCTGGCCCTGGCCGGCACCTTTGCTGTCTTGAGTGGCTCTGCTCTCTGAGAGTCGGAATTGCTGCAGACTCGCACAGCAGGTCTGGCAAACTGGTAAATTGTTCCTCTCAGGCTGGACAGGGCATTTGACCAGATGCAGGGATCCAGAAATGAATAAGAACTTGTGGTCAGCACACCACCTTTCTCCCCACGAATGTTGACAATGCTGACCTAATAGGTCTAGCTGCTATTTTATGTTGTGATAGCAGTGTTTTCTTAGGTGACCCAGGGTCAAGAATTTATCTTTTAAATCTGGTGCGGGGCAATAAACTTTAACACCCGGGTTATTGAACCAGACCTTAATACTAGGTAAATTTTATGTCATGACATATTTAGTCAAGACGGGTTATTTTCTAGGAAAAGTCAGATCATTTTCTGGGAAGACAGGCTGTCATTGAGTTTGTCGAGACATAAAACAAATTGAAAGACTTCAGCAGTGGGCGTGGATTCGTTACAGGGGTTTGAGGCAGTGGTTGGGCTGTAGTCACAGTTACGCTTCACTCCCTTTTGGGTGGTGGGTGGCATTGAGTTCATGTAGCCTAGGGCAGAGATGAGAGTGGGGTGACCGATGGGTTGTTACTCGTGGTCGTGGACTCCTGAGTGCTTATGTGTCCCTGTAAGTAGGCATGGGGACTTACCATGGGCAGAGCCAGAACTAGGCTAAGGCAAACAAGTGGAAAGGAGTTGTTATTGGGTTGGCCAAAAGGTCTGTTACCTTTTTTCTGTAAAAGACAGTTTTTATTTTCACCACTAACTTTATGGATTTGGATATTTTGAGTATGTCAGTTCTCTACTGCTATTGGCTTCTAGTGGGTAGAGGCCCGACGTGCTGCCAAACATCTTCCAGTGCATAAGACAGCCCCATAGCAAAGAATTATTTGGCCAGAGTGTCAGTGGTACCAAGAAACTTCGCAGACCACTTTTGACACGTTCGATCATTCACAGCACCTTCTCCACACACTGCATAAATCATTTTTTGCATTTCAGTTGCATTTTTACCTTTCTTGAAAGAGTAAAGCATAATATGCCAAAAATGTGTATTTCCTTCCATCTTTAGTATTAAGATGGCTGCCCAAAAATTCACCAGTTTTGATTTTCTTAAAAAAAAAATGCATGCTGATATGATGGCTGTCACAATACAATTTAACAAGATTGTTTTGAGTGAAGACAACTAAGCCATCACATGGGAAAAATTAGACTTTTCGGCCAACCCAATACTTCTCAGGATTGTGCGAGTCAGCATTTACCCGAGACCTGTATAGTTTTGAACTTCAATCAGCAGACAGACAATATACAGGACAATGCGGGAAGGAAGCTACCGGACTTAGCTCAGCAAACGTTTTTGCGGACCCTCCGCATGCAGGGGCATATGGCAGATACAGAGATTCTGGGGACGAGGGCCCTGTTCTCGACGGCTTCCCACCCAGGAGGGCAGTGAGGCGGGCAGCGACGGTGCTGGGAGGGAGCCACGCTGCGCGTGGACCTTCAGGACAGAGGAGAAGGGGCTTCTCTGGGGGGCGATCATTTCTGGACTGGGCTTCGCATACATGGTAACATTTGAGGTGGGTCTGGAAAGATAGGTCGTGTTTCTCTTCCCACCCCAAGCAGTGGTGATTTCCCCCAGTTACAAAGAAGAGAAAGGAAAAAGAATCCAACATGCAGAGACAACGACACTTCTTTTTGTTTCTGCCTTTCCCTGCATTTAAAACATTTTCCAAATTGTTTTTTCTGCATAAAAATTCCCATTCTGCTTGTTTTGCTTAGTACACCGTGGACATCTTAGTGAACTGTCATTTTGCATGGCTGTGCAAAACTCCTAGGAGGCAAATGATAATGTCCTTCACTGTACCCTTATTGTGGGTCTTTCGCATTGTTTCTGATTAATTATAAACATAAAAACCTATTGCGAATACCCTGGTGCTTTACAGGAAAGCAGCAGTGTTTGAAGGAGGTCTGCATTACCATGCTGTTTCCATGAGTACCTTGTGTAATTTCTGTGCACAAGTTATTTTAATTCTCTTAACCTTAGTCATCTTATCTGTAAAAAGAAAAAGACCATTGCCTCATTGTGTTACAGTAGCCTCACAGAGAGACATGCTCAACAGGGTCTGCTTCTCCCCCTCCTTCCCCCTCTTCCTCCCTTCCTTCTTTTCTTCCTGTTTTTGATTATTTGTTAGGTTTGAATCCAGGAGCAGAATCAGTAAGTTAAAGAATTAAGTTACTCAGAGCCCTCATTCACATTGCCTAGACTTAAATATGGCACATATTTGCAAAATTTGCTCCATCTATTTTTTTTTGTTGTTGTTGAAATACAAGGCTTCATGACATTTTACCTGAAATAATTGATTATAAATCTCAAGGAGATTTTCATATTTAAGCACAATGCCTAAAATATTAATACTGTTTAGCAGTATCATCACACATTTGATTATGCTCTTATCTCTCCACTTTCTTCATATTGTTTCAGTATGTGTGAATCAGGATCCAGATAAGGTCCATAAAATGCACTTTATCGTGTCCTTTTTAATCTATGGATTCCCCCCTACTTTTTGCTTTTTCTTCGCATTGTATTTGTTTGAAAAGAACAACGGGGCAGTCTGTTCTGTTAGTTTCCCGTACTGTGAATTTTGTTGGTTGTGATCTCATGGTAGTTTTGAATGTGTTTATCACCTTTATTCTCTGTAAATTGGTTAATTAAATCTAGAAGCTTGGTCATATTTTACCTTTTTTAATTTTTTTGCAAAGATACTTAATAGGTTGTAGAGAGTACTTCCATCAGGAGGCACTAATGTCTTAATGTCTCTCAGAGCCATTGAGGATCATTTCGGGGTCCTTTGATTCATTAGGGTTGCACAAGGACTCTTTCAATCTCCAGCAGTCTCCCTTCCCCTTTTTTTCCACATCATTGACTTGAGGAATGAATGGCTAGGGTTTCAGTAGGTAGAACAAGGCTGTTGCAGACAGAAGGAGCTGTGTAAGGCATCGCATCAGAATAAGCTGGCCGCCTTCCGGCAGCAACAAATCAAGTTCGGCTGGAGCTTTTGTCGTGGGACAGAGGAGCGGAAAGAACTGCCTAAAGGATGTGCCTAAAGAGTGTGGCCTTTTATCAGTCACCTCCGAAGAACCTGTGAAGGTTCTGGAGTGGAGAGCATTGATGTGGACGGGGGGGGGGCGGGGGGGGGGGGTGTCGGGGCCACTGTGACAGCCAGGAGTGGGGGCTTGTCAAACCTGCCTTTAGCGTGCAGTGAGGTGGAGACAGGCCTTGCTGACATGAGATAGGTGGGTGTGGCTTGCCCTTGTGGGCAAAGTCGAGGGGAAGAAGGTGCCATGTCAAGGTGTCGAGCCTCAGAAACCAGGAGTGGCCTCGCTCTCTGGAAGGGTAAGAAAGGCAGAAGGTGTGAGAGGGGTTTTGCGGAGCGGGAGCTGGCTTTTGGTTTCAGCAGTTTCAGCTCGCGGGGTCGGCTCCCCCAGCGGGACAGGCTCCGATGGCAGGTGGGGTCTGCAGGTTGGAGGAGAAGTCGGAGTTCAAGATTTGGCATCACTGGTGGAGAGGGGCGGGTGGGATTTGGCAAGGAAGTGTCCTTAGAGGGAAGGGAGCGCTGGGCCGCTGGGGCAGGGCGGAGGGTTGCAGGGAAGGAGGCTGGGGTGGAAGGGCTGTCCAGAGGTGAACGAAGATGAGGATTAAGAGAAAGCCATTGTCTTTTCAGTTCAGGGGGAGCATCCTGGATCCTTAGGGACTCCTTCTGATGGGTTGTGGGGAGTGAAAGGGGAGAGAGCCAGCCTCCTAGATTGGAAAGTGGAAGGGTGGAAAGGTTGGCATTGTTCAAGTGTGGGGAAGAGTTTGGTTTTTATTTTTAATATACAGGAGATTGGGACGTTGTTGGAAACACAATCCCTAAAGCAAGGGAAGCTGGAAATGCAAGGGAATGGGGGCTAAGTGAGGGGGGCAGCTTGCAGCCTTTGTGTCCTCACTGAGCCTGTTCATAGCACCATTCTAGCTGCATTTCCTCCTGTTTGTGTGCATCTCCTGCAGTCACTGAGAGCTCCCCAAGGGGAAGCACCTTCCATTGTTCCCACTGAAGCCCCAATATCAAGCCTGGTGTGGGGCGGGGGAGGGGGGTGGTAATGAACAAATGAATGAATGAGAAAGTATAGTTTGCTGATTGAAAGCATGGGTTCTCACACTGGGCAGACTGAGGTTCAAATCTCTGCTCAGTCGTTCACCAGACATTTGATCTTGGGCAAATCACTAAGGTGTTCGTTCAGACCTCTATCTCCCCATGTAAACGAATTGGGAATCCTAATACTTAGTGATTCACAAGGTTGTGCAGGTTAAAGAAATAATTCAGTTAAGTTTCTGCATCTGGCATAAAGTAAATCTTGATATGTGTAAGCTGCGCAAAATGAACAGACTCGTGACTGAGGGTCGACTTAGAAGGGGGCACGTGATCGCGAGACCGGGAGGAAAGGAAGAAAAGGTAGCTTGGCCACAAGGGCACGCACACCCTGCGACTGCCTGGTGAATTGTCTCCTCAGAGAGGTGGGAAGCCACATGCTTAGCTGCGAGCCCTGGAAACCTTTGGCCCAGCCATCGACACATGCATGGCTGTCACTGGTAAGGGCCAGCACATTTTTGGTAAGGACACAGTTGACATGGCCGCAGAGCTCAGCAGACTGGGAAACTGAGGATGGCCAAGCCGTGGTTGGGAAAGTGGCCGTGGCTGGAGTGATGTGGACCAGGTGGAGCCCTGGGACTGGCCCACGGATAGGGACTGGGATGGGGGGCGGGTCTGGAGCACTGATGGTAGCAGAGGGCAGTTTCCATGGGAACAGGGAGCAGGAGAGGTGGGAGCACGGGAGGCTCTCACCTGAGCAGGGAGCTCTGAGCCTGAGGTTCAGGAGGTGAGGCATGTGCATGGAACACCGGGCGGTGTGTTCAAGGGGAAGCTCCAGCCCATTATGAAACATTGGATTGGACACTCAGTGGCAACGTGGCCTTAAGAGTCATCCTTTGCCTATAGTATAAAAAACAATCTCTTGGCATCCACCTGCCTTTATTTCCCCATCTCTAAAATGGTTTATAACCTGTTTGAGAAAAATGATGCATCTGGATGAACACTGTTGAAATCATGAAGGCTTTTAATCATCTAGGTTAGTACCTATCAGAAAACATTTAGGAGAATGCATTTTCCTCCATAATGTTTATCTTTTCCTCCACAAATACCTCCTTCCCACCCCACCCCCCAAATTCAGCACTTCACAGCTTTCAAGTTGATAGACATGAAAATAATTCACACTGTGCAGAAGTCACTGTTGTCAGAAGAAGCAACCATTAGCATCTTCTCCAAAGAAATTGGCTCAGACAAAGGCATGGAGTCCACAGGAGACAGAAGGAGTTCCACAAACACACAGGGGAAAGTGGGTGGCATGGCTCCTCCATGCAGCGGTTGGTCGGGAGTTCACTGGTGGTGTCAGCTGAATGTCCACCATGTGCCCAGACATAGCCAGCCCCCTCATACACCTTTCTTTCTTTGGCTTTCTTTCCCCCACAGCCAGATGGTTGTGCTCCAGCCAAGTGTAGAATTCTGGTGTTCTGATCACGAGCTGTTACTATGCATGACCTGGTTTTTCTTTCCCTCCCGTTATAAGGCTGTGTCCTTTGGCCCAGGTTTGCCCCAGTGGTGACTGTCCTGAGGGGAGGTCTGAATGCCAGGTCCTGCACTGGCTCTGCTCCATCTGTGACCGTGTGCATTCGTCCATCTCTCTGTCCATCCATCCATCCAAGAAAAATTTTTGGAGGACTTACTAAGGGTTGGGCACTTTTGACTTAGACTAGACTCTTAGTTTCATGGAGTTTACATTTTTGTGACTGACATAAGTAAGGTGATGACAGAGTGATGGATGAGGGACAGAGAGGGGATAGTTCCGGAGATAAAGACCTGCCCTGGCTAGGGCTGCCCTCCGAGTCACTCCATGGAAACAGGGGAATCCAGAGAAAGCCCTTAAATAACTTGAAGAGCAAACAGCATTGGTCATCTTTTTAAAGAGGCAGCTTTCCACTGTTTAACGTGGTGAGGCTGAAGTGCCAGGATTTCAGGATTTGTGCGGTGACGTTCTCACCTGAGGGCCCGTGGTGTGGGGTGGTTCGTTACCAGTGTCTGTGTTTCTGGCTCCAGGAATGGGCACGCTCTCCTGGCATTCATGTTCTCACGACAAGAGGGCAAGCTGAACCGCCAGCAGACCATGGAGCTCGGCCACCACATCCTGAAGGCACACATTTTCAAGGTGAGACACACACCCCTGTGAGGAAGGGCCTCACTGTTGGCATTATCTGAGTTTTTGGTTTGGGAGGTTTTCGGCAGTTTTATCAGCCCTCAGAGCCCTCCGCAAGCTCCCCTCCAAACGCAACCCCCTTCCTTCTCCTTAAAAGGAACTACTGTTCTGACTTATAATCACTGAAGTATGTATCTAAATGCTATGGTTGTGTTTTACTTTTTCCCCCTTTAAGTCCATTTAAAGTTTCTTACCACCTAAAGTTTCTATTTCGTTCATTCCCTGTTGTTTCCTTGTTACTTAGTTGTCAAAGAACACCAGTTACTTGATCTTTAGTTTGCTGGTTGTTGTAGTCAAAGAATTCATTCTATTGAATTTAGAATCAAGTTCAACTTGCCCTCTAGTTTTGCACCACCTGTATTTTCTGGTTGTTCTTATTTCGCATGATCTAGTTTAACATGTTCCTCTTTCCTCTCGATTTCCTGCCATTTGGTAGTTGTATCTAGAGGCTTAATCACATTCAGGTTTGATTCTCACCTCCTTCCCCCGCCTACGGTGTGAGATTACTTTGCCCTTAAGAGTTTAAACTCTATATAATTCTGCATGGGGTTTCCTGCATCAGGAAGCACAGCGTTTGTGCTTGTTTCCCTTGCTGCGGTGCCCTCCACGCTGCAGGTGTCTACCTGCATTCATTCACTCACGGTGGGTTACAGAATGGTGCTGTTTTATCATTTATTCTTCCTTTGATTGGAGAACTTCTCTAAGGAGAAGATATTTCTCCTCATCTTCCATCTCTTTCCCCAAGCCTGCGGTTCAGGTGGCAAAGGCAGGTTAGTTCCTTGATCCTTGGTTTCAGGAGGGAGGGCACACAGGTCCAGGCCTTCTCTGTCACAGCTTGCACCAGGGCTCAGCTCGCATCTGCGCGCCCTGGGGCACACAAGGAGAAGCTGAGGCTGATCTGTCTCTGATTGCTTCCAGGGCCTCAGTAAGAAGACAGGAATCTCCTCAAGCCATCTCCAAGCCCTGTGGATCGGGTATAGCACGGAGGGACTGTCTGCTGCCCTCGCCTCTCTCAGGAACCTCTATACTCCCAATGTCAAGGTGAGCAAGCAGCTCTCCTGCAAGAGAAGCAGAGCTGCCAGGCCAGCTGCTGTTTCTTCAGCAGCCCTCTCGCCCCCTGCCCTGGGCGGTGCTGGAGGAGATGGCGGAGCTTCTAATGATGCTCTTCCCTGATGTAAATCACACACACTTGAAAGCTCTATTACCATTTCTCTTCTAAAAGTTTAGCTTTCCCTCGGCTGGAAGAGTGGGTGGTCCGGGCGTCTGTGTGAGCACGCAGTGACTTCTTCAGAGCGGGTGTGATAAGGAAGCAATTCACAAAGGAAACCAAAGGTCAGAGGGAGATTTCCAGGGAAAATTGATTTTTTAAGTGTCCTGAGTTTCTAATCTGGATTGTCTCTTTATGGTTCATAGGAAATTACACATTGATGAGTGACACAAAGCAATATGTACATAGAGGAAAACTATTACCAAAGGTTTCGTGTGCGTGTGTGTTTATGACCGTGGAAAGCGTGTCAGGGTCGGCCGCAGCTGAGCCTGTGGTGTCCTCGCTCTTGATCATGGGCTGTCATGTCACAATTTCCCTCTGAGCTTTTTAGAGTAGTTTTTTTTTTCTTTCCTCATTGAATGCAGCCTAAGAATCTAAAGCAGGCAGAGGCCAAGTATCTGGTGAAAGCAACAGAGAAGGGTTAACTCCCACACAGTAAGGGAACTACTGCTTTACATTAGAGCAGCTGGCAACCACCATTCCCAATGCAGAGCAAAATGAGATCATTAATGTTTTCACCCACTTGACACATCTGCCGACTCCAGGGCATGCTCGCAAGCCCTGGCTGCCTGGCTGCCGGCAGGGGCTCTGAGGCACATGCCCAGGGAGTCATCCTCCCTGTCAGTCACCTCCATGAAAACTGTCACACCTGTTCCCCCCTTAGTAGCATGAGGGTGACCCAATGTAGTCCTGCAGCAAAAGACTAAGGAAGCCCTGCAAATTTCTGGGCCTGTCTTCCACTTCTCACTTTGGGTTCATCAGACTCTCCTGGGAAGGGGGCACATGTCCCAGAGATGGTACTTGGGGTTGGGGGGACAGTCCCAAGAGACTTTCTGCACATCCTCTCCCCTTCTGTCTGCACACCCCAGCCTCAGCACGTGCCCCTTGGATGTGTAGCTGGGGATCTGGGCTTGCAGAGCACTTCCCCTGTCCTGTAGGTGTTTGCTCTGTCCCTCTTCTCTTTCCCTTGCCTCTCTGGTGTATTTTTTTTATTTTACTCTTTTTAAAAAAATTGAGATATAACTGACATCTAACATCATATTTTACATGCACAACATAATGATATGATATTTGTATATATTGCAAAATGACTACCACAATATATTTAGTTAACATCCCTCACTGCACAGTTATACTTTTTTTTCCTTGTGATGACAACTTTTAAGGTCTGCTCTTTTGGCAACGTTCAAATACACGGTATGGTATGGTTAACTGCAGTGACTGTGCTGTACATTAGAGCCCCACTTTCTGACACACAGAGGGGAGGTATAACGATGCTAAGAAGCCTAGGTGTCAGGAGGACCTCCGAGCAGTGCTCCGACTTGGGAGCCCCGCCGCCCAGGACAGGGCCTTGGTATCAGAGAAAGACTAGCACCTCCAGGTGGACACAGATGGGGTATTTGCAGAGATAAAAGTGCTACCTTGTGCAGGTGGGCTCACCCCCCTTTTAGGGATCCAGTCTTGGTGGTCGGGGGCCCATTGGATCTCATCCTGACGCCCCCTTGGCCAGGCGCCTGGGAGTGGAGCACCCCGGAGGCCCACTCTCAGGAACCCCGTGCTCCGCCCTGCTCCCCTGCGTGTTTGCGCCTCTCTCCAGACCTGTCGCTGGGGGCGCTCGTGTCTCAACTGGACTGCACACACAAGCTGGGGGGCAGGGGGGCAGGGGAGCTGTTAGCGTGGTTAGGGAGAATTAGCTTCAAGCAGCTGCTTCTGATCAAGGAAAGCACTTCCTCTCTAGATGGAGTTACTCGAAAAGAAAGGTGGAGGACACAGGTGAGTTTAGATGTCCCATGCTAGAATATTTGTATTAAGACTTTTTGTCTTACGTTTTACAGAAATTGGGTTGAGTTTACTATAACAACATTGTTTCATCTCTCAGCTTCAAGTGTGTCTTTTGGCTTGTCCATAATTAAGAAAATTCTATAACAATGGCAAGGAAGAAAGAAATAGGAATAAAAATAGCAGTATCTGTTTTTACTATTTATATGAATTGTGGGCACAGAAGTTATTCTTTCAGTGTGGAGAAAATTAAATGGGAAACGCCATATTCAGTTGAATATGAGCTTTGAAGACAGTAAATTAAAAGGTGCAGCATAACACTAATGAACCTGACCCCCCCAGGTTATAAACTTTCCCCTTTAACATACTTGTGCTTGTCAGTGGCGCTCCTCTTTGTTTCAGAGGACGCGCGTCGCCCACATCACCCTGTCCCCTGAACTCCACGACTTGGGTGTAGGGTTTTGAGGCTTTCCATTATCCTTCTGTTTCTTTTTATCTTTCAAGAAAAAAAAAATAAAAAGGTTTTCACAGAATCTTGAATAAATTACAGTAATTTAAAATTATGCATGCAATTAAGGGACTTTTTTTAGAGAGTATTAAATGTTGTCATACAGAAATGGATGTCATTTTGAGCAATAATTGCAGTTTGTCACTTTGGTAAATTAAAGTGACTTTGCTCCAGAATGATTACTTGGTAGATGAATTTTAATTTTAATGGCATGCCAGGGACTTCTAACAATGGAGCCTCCCGCTGCCCGGCGAGCAGCGTGCCAGCCCAGGCCCTGGCCGGCCCACTGGGGTCCCTGCCACCAGCGCTCCAGGCTCCCGTCCAGCTGGCTGTTGGGCTCACCCTGTCCTGTCGGACTGGTTGCTGGCCACGAGTTCCCCAGGGCTGTGGACGCAGGAGGATTCAGGCTGTGATTCTTGTCTTAGCCGAGAAGATCCAGTCATATTTTGCATGATTGCTAGGCAATGCCCAGTTTAAAGCTGTTGTGTGGATGTGAACCTCCATTTATACCACTGAAGAAACCGAGGCTCGTGCCTTCCGCTGTGCCCGCCAGCGCCTCTCCTGTTCCTCATGGTCACATCACTTTGCTGACCCCCAGCCACTTTCTGCTTCCTTGCATTCATTAAATCCAGAAGTTTATAGGAAATACTGCCGTTTCCAAATGTTATCCAAGGAGACTGTCTGTGGCAGTGATGGTTGGAATATTTCTATGTAGTTGGGGAAAAATGTCAAGGATGAACCATTTAAACCCCTTCCTTGAATACGGAGTAATCTTAGCTGGAGCTGCTGCTTATGCCGCCAGGCTGATCTGCGGCAGTCATTAGCTTTGTGCCCAGAGATAATCTGTGCTTTATCCCCCCTGAGCCTCAGTTCTCTTACCTATCAAACAGAGGTAACAAAAGAGCCTGTCTCATAGTGATGGGAAACCTCATTGAGCTGTTAAAGTTCTTGGGAAAATACTGGGCATTTATTACACGGGCAAGTTAATTATTTTTTTCTAGTGCTTTGTCTCCTTTCTGGAAACTGAGACTCTGCTGTAGGCGCCTGAAAACTTCTGGATGTGCCTGTGGCGGCGGTGGTGGTGAGGAGGAGCTGCCTGCCGCGGGTATTTGGTGGGTCTGGGCAGCCCACGCCTGCCCTCAAACAAGCATGAGGCGTCCTGCCGCCCCGAACTGGTGAACAGCCCCGGGGGGCCAGACCCCGCTGGCCGGGTGCCTGGGGCAGAGCAGCCTTCTGTGCCTTCTCAGGTCAGGGACCTGGGTTCTTGTCGCTTCTAAAGAGTCTGTGAAAGATGAGTGTGATGATAGCAATTAAGACGTATTTAGCACTTACGGGATCCTGAGGACTGTGCTAGGTGCTTTATGTTTCTGTGTGTGTGTCACATTCATTTTTAATCTTCACAACCCCCCAGTGAGGTGAAACTGTCTTTATCTCCAGTGTGCAGATGAGGCCGAGGCAGTTAACATAGCGTGCCCCAGATCACACCGCCGGCAGCGGACCTGGCTGCCAACTAGAATCACGGGGGATCCGGGTGCCTAGCTGAGGCAGAATCTCCCAGGGCAGGGCGCAGGCATACTTTCAAGCTCCCAGGCGGTTTCAGTGTGCAGCAGGGTGAAGAACCATGGGTTAGGGAAAGGTCCACAAACTGATGGGGTAATGTGGTAAAAATACCCGTCGCCTTGCACCATGAAGGATATGTTTTTCCCAGGAAGCAAATGAGGTGTCACTTGATGACAGACATCGTTAGGAAAGCTTTGCCCTTAAGCACATACCATCGAGGTAATGTCTTGTAAGCAAGAGAGTACTGAGAGTACACCTTCCAACATTGTCAGCAGAGAGTACCTGTTGGGTAGAATGGGTGGTCTACTGGCTGTTTTCTCAGGAGGCACCTCAAGCTCAGAGAGGTTGAATAATACTCTGAAAATCAACAGCAAGTTAATTAAGGAGCTGGTTGAGAACTCAGACAATTTAATCCATCCTCTTTTTTCTCAGTTTAATCTATCTTCTTTTTCTGTTAGGCACATGGGTCTCAGGAGGGGCTGGGATTGGTTGGAGAGGAGAGGGGAACTGGCCGGTCACCCGAGGAATGTACAAACTGACCCTGCCTGTCTGGTGGTGGCCAGCCTGGTGTGCCTCTCAGTGAGGTGATGTTACGTGTGTTTTCTCCTCTATTCCTCTTGGTTAGAATCAGTTTTCTCATCCGTTTTAAAATCCCCAAGTATTTCACCAGTGTCATCCTCTTCCTTTCATTACTAACGGTCGTTGCCCAAGGTGAAATCATTTCCTAAAAAACCCTTACCTTTGTTTGGCCCTTACAGTTTTAAATACTTTCGAATCATATTAGAGTCTGGTGCTGCTTTTAAGAGCAAACCCATGTATGTTTGCCAAGCAGGCCCTGCAGGAGTCAGGACACGCATAAAGTGTCAGTGTAGCACAGGGACACCCTCTCTGACTTCTGTGCGTTCTCTGCCTTTCCATCCACGAGTGCCGGCTGGCAGTGGCAGCCTCGGGCCGAGCTGGTGCTGACCTGGGTGGGGCAGGAAGAGGGTCCCCTCTGATGGGGTTAGGTTACCGGGCGCGGGCTGGCTCATGAGGTCTCCTCTGCACTGCATGTCACCTGTCTATGCGGTGGGTAAGCCGGAAAATAGGGTGTGAAGAGAGTATGGGGCAGCACCTGAGGTTGAGGCGTGCGTGGGGGTGTGGCTCTGTCGACAAGTGTGCGCATGTGCGCAGAGTGGTGGAGCAGAGGCCTATAGGAGGCGCTCCTTTGTCACCTGCCACTACAGAAAGGGCGTTCCTGGCAGAGGGAAACTGTAAGGGTAGAGGCAGGAGGCTGGGGCCTGCTTGCCTTTGTTGCAGAACAAACATTGGACCCAGTGTGGCCGAAGTGGGGGAAGGGGAGGGAAAGGTCTGGGTGAGGGGGTCAGAGGGAGCTGGATCTCTTGGGCTTCGAGCTTCAGCAGCAACCAGGACCCTTCACAGTTTACACGTTGGGTTGTAGCTGGTCTTTATGCGTCACACTGTTCCGAGTTGTGGTTTCACCACCTCGTAATACTAATTTCTGTCAGTTTGTAAAAATTCTGTCGGCTACTCTTATGGACGCTTATCTTGGAAATAACTTGAAATGTGTATGATGTATCGTCTTTCTGCATCTTTTAATGATCCCTTGTGACTCCAGTCAAACGAATGACATAGTCTCCGGTTTTCACACCTGGTGGGCAGCCTGGAGGCCTGCCAGGGCCTGTGAGGGGAGGGAGGGATGCAGCTGGGGGCGGGGCGGGCGAGGAGGGGGGTGGGAACTGGGAGAAGAAATGCAGGAGGCACTGTAATAGGTGTTAAAGGGCCATCATTTTTTCAGTGGTCTGGAGAAATGCAGAAGACCTTAGTAGAAGTACAGTTTGCACAAGGTATTCCGTGATTTTATTTTAAAATCTATAGATAAACTTCCCCTCATGTCTGGATCCAAGTAGTTTAGTGTGTGGTGATGTCATAATTAGAAAAAGATTATTTTTAAGAATCTTGAGCTGCTGACAATCCCAGGGCACAAACATTGTCACGCGTTCCGCCTCTTCTTTTAGGCTCACTTCCTTGTGAAGAAAAGAGGGTGTATGCACTTACTTTTGGCCTTGTTATCTCAGGGTCAACTATGTAACCCTGTGATGATTATTGCATTACCAGAAACACGAATTTTGTTTTTACTTAGATTAAGCAGTGATTTTTCAAGTGTTGGACCCCAGCCCAACAGCGTCAGCATAAACTGTGAACTCGTTAAAAAGACACATTCTCAGGCCTGACCCCAGATCTAAGCGGATCAGAAGTCCAGAAGGTGTGGACTAAGAATGTGCTTTTAAACTTTTTTTATTTTTAATTTTGGTTTTAAAAAACCCATAAAATTGACTATCATAACTGTGTTTTTATTTTTATTTTTTTTAAGTTTAGTTGGTATGCATTAATTATATTGGTTTCGGGTGTACAGTATAGTGCTTTGACATTTTTTATACGTTACAGTGCGTCACCCCCCTAATTCTAGTAATTACCTGTGACTGTGCACACTCACCACAGTATTGCTGGTTGTATTTCCTTTCCCCCTTTTCACTCATTCCCCCACCCCCTCCCTCTTGGTAGTCATCCCTTTAGTCTCTATTTTACCTTAATTATTTTTAAGTGTAGAATTCAGTGTTAAGTATATTCACATTACTGCGCAATAGATCTTCAGAAGTTTTATCATCATGTAAAACTGAATCTTTATACTCATTAAACAGCTCTCATTTCGCCCTCCCCCTGGCCCTTGACAACCACTGTCCTACTTTCTGCCTCTGTGAATCTGACCTACTGTAGGTGCCTCATATAAGGAAACCACGACAGTGTTTATCGTTCTGTGTATGGCTTAATTCACTTAACGTAATGTCCATAAGGTTCGTCCATGGTGGAGCGTGTGTCAGAATATTCTTCCTTTTAAAGGCTAAATAATATTCCATTGTCGCGCAGGCACATGCAACATCTATTTATCCATTCAGCCACGGAAGGACGTTCAGTTTGCTTCCACCTCTTGGCTGTTGTGTATAATGCTGCATGAACATGGCAGAGCAGGTCGATCTTTCTGAGATCCTGATTTCATTTCCTTTGGATATAAACCAAGATACGGGCTTGCTGGGTCTTAGGGAACCTCTGCACTGTTTCCATAGCTGCCGCGCCATTTCACACGGCCACCCTGAGACTGTGCGCTTGCAGCACATTCCCAGGTAACACTGGTAGACACTCAAGTTTGAGAACCACTGGATTAAAATAAGAATACTGCCCTTCTCCACAAAAGTCGTTGTCAGTGTTGCTCTTTCCGGGTGGCTCTGTTGGTTGGAATGTCATCCTTTGCACCAACAGGTGTGGGTTTGATTCCAATCAGGGCGCATCCCGAGGCGGCGAGGCCAGTCCCCGGTTGGGGCACGTGTGGGAAGCCTCTACTTGATGTTTCTCTCTCACATCAGTGTTTCTGTTTCTCTTCACCTCCCCTCCGCCCCAACTCCCGCCATCTTTTCTTTCTCTCTCTCAAATTAATAAACATTTCTTTGGTGAGGATTGGAAAAAAAAAAGTTGTGAACGTTGTGAAATTTATGTAAGAAATTAATCGTGTTTGGGGGGGCATTATCCAACAGGTGAGCCGCCTCCTGATTTTGGGAGGGGCCAACGTGAACTACAGGACAGAAGTGTTAAACAACGCCCCGATCCTGTGCGTCCAGTCCCACCTGGGCCATGAGGAGGTGGTCACTCTGCTCCTGGAATTTGGTGCCTGCCTGGACGGAATGTCAGAGAATGGCATGACCGCCCTCTGCTACGCGGCAGCTGCTGGCCACATGAAGCTGGTTTGTCTGCTGGTCAAGAAGGGGGCAAGGGTAAGCAGCAGCCTTCCCCAGCGGATAGGGAAATGTCGTCATATCCTTGTTAGAATCATTAACTAGGCCAGTCTTCCCCTTGTCTCTACTTTGTGGAGGTGCAATGAATAGAAACCACCCCGTAAACAGAAAGGGTGGAGTTGGGGCACTGCTGGGTGCTCCCGCCTGAGTTAGTGCTCGAGCGCGCAGCCTTGGAGAGCGAGGGGCTGTGTGTTTTGCTCCTAAGCTCTTACTCAGCCTCACATTGCCCGAGGGGAGGCAGGCTACTGGGGAGCTTCCTCGCCACCAGCAGCTGGAGTAGGGCCATCCTTCCAAAAGCCTGCAAATGTGGACACAGAACTTACCATGGAATTTAACACAGCACTGACAGGTTGAAAAGATTTAAGTGTTTGAATTTTTTTCTCACCTTCTCCCATATAATTTCATGCCTTTCTTAAAAACAATAAAATTGAGTTCCGTGGGTCTTAGCCCAGAATCTGCATTTCTCCAGCCACCAGCTGGGATGTTGGGCAAGTTGTTGAGGCTTCATGTCTCCGGCTTCTCATCTGTAACACGGGCGAAACAACAGTACCACAGGGCTGTTGTGTGAGCGTTAAATAAATCAGTATGTTAACATTATTATGAAATAGGCTACTGTACGAACATCAATGTTAATAGCTTAAGTGAGAGCAGTGCCAAGTGCACTGTAAACTCTCTGTAGGTTTACTATAAGCATTTCTTTGGGGCAGGGGAGGGAGATGTGCTTTTGAATAACAACAGAAATGGATTGCTGATATTCGTCTTTATATTAATTAGGATACTTAAGGTTCAACAAAAAGACATTAGGCTTATAGTAACAGTCGGAGCATTTTTGGTTTTTCTCTCACACGTGTGACATTTGGAATGGCTGAACTTCAGCGTAGCTCGCGGAGGAAGAGAGATGTTGCTGTTCAGCCTTCCCAGTGGGCGCGTTGGGGCACATCCTAATGCATCCATTTCCACATCCAAACTGTGACTTAGCTTTATTTGGAGGCTGGCAGGCCCCCTCCCATCCCACTGAAAGATCTGTAGGGGATGGGCAAGGTCCGAGCACCCCCAGAATTTGCACGCAAGGAGAGCCTGCACTCTGCACTCCTATTCCATCTTAGTATTCCCGAGTTTAGACAGGGACTGACACATTGTCACCTGCCTTTGGCCCTTCAGGAGGTACACAGCACTCAGACACTCTTTGGGGCTAGCTGGCCTTCCTGGCTTTGTAGCCACACTTGACATACTGACTTGTCTCTGGCCTCCTGCCACCACGTGGCCACCTTCTCTAATCAGATGCCACTCACAGAGTCCCTTCTTGCCCTTTCTCGTTCAGAGGTAGGTTTTTAAGATTCCCCCCTGCTTTTGCTGGCTCTCCTGGCTTAGTGATTAAAGAACTACTCTGCCCCCCCAGATCGCAGCTTGTCACAGGAGATTTTGAATGTTCCACTCAGGGGACTGGAGTTGGTAAGCACAGGGCTTTGGCTGAGGTTTTGGTCTGTGTCCTCTCCCCCGCTTCCCAGAGAACTCAGAGCTCCTGGTTGCTTGCTGGAGAGACACAGGGAGTGAGGAGGGTGTCTTGTGATAGCTAGTTGTACAAAGGGGAACCCAAAACCTGGAACAGTATGTTCATCACGTCGAAGTAATTCCGGTGGGGATGTGGCGTAGTCCCCGTGTACATATGCAGTGGGATGGGGTTTGCACACAGCATTTGTGTTGCACCCATGTTCTCAGAGAAAAGGTGATGCTAAAGTGTGACCTTTTCCTGCTCCTGCCTTCCAGTTGGACCATTTGGATAAGAAAGGCCAGTGTGCGCTGGTCCACAGTGCACTGAGGGGCCACGGTGACATCCTCCAGTACCTGCTGAGCTGTGAGTGGTCAACGGGTCCTTCCCAGCCAGGCACACTGAAGAAGAGCCAGGCCCTGCAGCAGGCATTGACAGCAGCCGCCAGCATGGGCCACAGCTCGGTGAGTGACGCTGCACGGTTCCTTCTTGGGAAACTGGAGGCTGTAGTCCAGTGGGGTGGGTACTTGTACCAGTCACCTTCTTCTGGGTACTAGCCTGTGAAGCATGAAAGAGATGGAAGAAAATGAGGATTTCAAGAAACAGCAGTTGGTTTGACCAAGTTTAACCACGGTCCGGGGCATCGGCATCCCACCCTTCCGTGAGTGAAAGCCCGGCGGGGCCCACAGTGTCGAGAACACATGCGTGCTCATGTGATGGGGGCGGACCCCTCCCACATGCCCTTCGTAACATTTGTAATGTTCATTTTCTGCTCTTCCTTGCCTGTTTCTCTTTTCTTTCCCTCTTCTGCTTTTATCCTCTTGCCCTTTGGCTTTACTTCTACCTCCCGCCCCGCCCGCGCCCCCCCCACACACACACACTTTGGTCCATTCTTTTGTCCTTGTGCTCTTTTAAAAATAATCACCTGGAATCCTAATTCTAAAATTGTCCTTGAGTACACTGAAGGGTTTTAAAAAAAATACACCATCAGTGCTCTCATGGCCTACAAGAATGCCTGTCGCTTGCAGTTCCTGCGCTGGAGGAAAACTTCCTGCAGTAGTTCAATAGGGCACTTATTTCTGGTGCCCTATTGTTGGCAGTCCTCTCTTTGGAGGTTTAATTGTCATCTCCTGACCAGTTTGTCTGTGAACTGAATAATATTTTACCTGCTCCCTTCCGTGTATTTCTCACTCTCTGTTGTTCTCAAGCAATCAGAGTTGCCAGTATTTGGTAAGAGTTTTCTCTCCAACAGTTTAACATAAATTTGGGTGCAAAGCTGGCTGGCTAACTTTTGGCATTTAAAACACACAAGCAGGCCTACACACCCATGTGCACACACACGGGTGCACACGCACATTAAAAATATACATATACAGTACATCACAATATATTGCAACAAGTTGAATACAGAAACATAAGAGAATGCAGCTCTCTTAAGAGAGACATGAAAGATTTCCAAAAATAGGAAGCAAGACCAGTCAACTTACATGTTTTCGTTTTGAAAAAATACTTCCCTAAAAAAAACCCGTATTTCATAAAAATGTGTTAAATTATATATATAATAGGTTTATGATAAACTCAACTTGTTTTAAAGCTGGCTGGGAGGGATGCTGTATGAAAGCAAACTCAGCCCAGCCAGTAACCATTTTGTGGAAAAGGGCAGGATTCATTCAGCAAAGAACTCGAAGGGCGTATTAGCTTCCCAATGCTGTTGTAACAAGTGACCACAGATTTCAGGGGCCCAAAACAGCGTATACCTGTTCCTTACAGACCTGGAGGTCAGAGCTAAAATAAGGTGTCAGGAAGCCAGTGCTCCTTCTGGGGGCGCTATAGGGGATGGTTTTTAGCTTTTTTCTGGTTTCTAGAAGCCACCTATACTCCTTAGCTTGTGGCCCCTCCCTTTGTCTTCAGAGTGCATCACTCGAACCTGTGCCTCTGTCTCCCATCTCCTCCCTCAGACATGTTTTTCCCGTCCCTCTTGTAAGGACAGTGGTGATGACGTCAGGTGTATATGAGATATGCACCTGGGTAATTCAGGTTAATTGTCCCATTTCAAGACTTGTAATCGCATTTGCACTGTCCTTCTTGACATATCAGGTACCATTCCCAGGTTTTTGGGATGAAGATATGGACATATTTGGGGGCGCCGTTCAGCTCACCACAAAGGGTACAGATTGGGAGACAGGAAAATGGCTTTGCTGTCCTCTCCTGCTGCCGCTGTTGCACAGGGCGAGCGTTCGTACTGGTTCAGGGCTCAGGGGCTTCCGACTGCTCAGGAGCCAGGTTCTGCCTCCACCCCTGTGACTCCACCTGCCCTTTGGTGGGGCAGATGCCTGTACAGAAGAGAATAGCAACGCTGTCAGGAGAAAAATCATTAGAACAATATAATTTATTTTATTTTAATAAAAAGATATGCATCACCTTGTTTTCTTTCCTTGTGAAAATGGAGTCACCATCTTCTGGCGCTTTGTGCAGAAACTGCCCTTCGTGTGATCTCCTGGGCCCTCCGTTGATGAGGCTGGCGTATCTGGGGCATGCTGGAGTTCATTAAAATTCTGAGTACCTGTAATCCTGAACCGTGTTGCTGAAATTCACTGAGAATTTTTTTCATGCTTCTCAAAGTGAAAGTGCAAATAGTGTATGAATTATGCTTGAAAAGGTTTTCATTATATTCTCTCTCCTTGTGCAGCATGAGATAATCATGGTGAAAAAACAACACAGTCTCTCCTTTGATACGAGGGGTATAATAAGCGCATATGGCTATGAGAACTCATTAAATCACCTTGCCACTCCTGACAGGTGGTCCAGTGCTTGCTGGGACTGGAAAAGGAACATGAAATAGACGTCAATGGCGCCGACACACTGTGGGGAGAAACAGGTAATTACGGTTCCGTTGCTTACAGCCTGGACCAGCCTGATGTTTGAGCCCCATTTTAGCCTCATTGCCTTATGAATGATTGGGGATGCATATCATCCTTTTGTTATTTTGTCATGAAACATTTGAAGCTTAGAGCTTTTAAACCTTCCCAAATGAGCAGTAAAACTTTTCTGGAAGCATATAAATTTGAATCATTTTGAATTAGACCAGCAGTTCCTGTTAATCTGATGAATGTCAGCGAGAGATACCTAAATAAGGTATTCCCTTAGCCTAACCAGCATGGTCTCCTGTGAGCAGGGCAGGAACCTCCACCCCCCCCCCCCCCCCCCCAGCTCCAGATGAATCAAAGGTGCTCACAGCGAGAAAGGTGGTGGCCTGCCTTGTCGAATGAGAGCAGGACTTGGCCCTGGAGGGGGTGGGGGTGCTTAAAACACTGAAAACAAGCCACCAAGTCCATTTCCATCGGGGTGGGGTAGGTGTGCTTAACTGTAGCACGGGAATGAAGCCCATGGTGAGTATGTCTTAATGAAGGTCTGAGTTGGTGACCTGTCAGATTGATCCGGAGATGCTGCTTTGAAGTTTTCCGTTGGACTGAATTGGTATTGGAATCTAAGACTTGGAGGTCAGAGTCGTTATTGAAAAGATGTAGCCAAGAGTGTTTAATATGCGTTTCCAGGCGGTGTGGGGGGTGTAGTTAGTATGCATGACCCCCGCCTCTCTAGAGCGGATTTGTTTCCACATGCTTCTGAATTATTTCCTAACAAGCCAAATGGCAGTGTGTAGAGCTTATCCGCTAACTCATACTGAAGAAAAGCCTCGGAGAGTTTGGGGGTGGGTGGGACACAGGCCTGCCCTACAGGGCCTGGTGCTGCCCCTGGAAGGGGGCCGCCCGAGGCTGTCAGTGCGGTGCGGTGCCTCAGGAGGCGGCGGCCCGGCTCCAGGGAGAGCGCAGGACCCCAGGCAGGCCTGGATTATGCTTGGGGCTACGTGTGTGTAGATTTCAATATTGCTCTTAATTCTTTGCGGGGTCTTTCTCACACCCATTTAAATGGTATAGGCTGCTCTCTAATTCAGGGAAAGAAACATTTCCATCCAGTTCCATCTCGTGTTGTGGGCAGCAGGGCAGGACAGCGCATGACTGTGCTTTGTGCTTAGCCAGAGGGTCCAAATCCCAGCCTTTTCATTGCCTAGCGTAGCAACTCGGGACAAGTTATTTTGCCTCCGTATCAAATGAGGTCAACAGTAGCTACTTTTCCAGGATCGTGATGTAGATACCGAATATTGTCCACATGCCCTAATGACAAGAACCCCTGGCATACGGGTGCCTAGACATCCTGATTCAGCAGGACTAGGGGAGCCCAGGATTCTGTTTCTTAACAGACACCCCAGGTTGTGTCAGGTGACTCGCCACTTCAGGACAGATGGAGAACCGCTGTGAAAGCTGTGTCAAGTGTCCAACTTGTGGTGACACATACTGAGAAGTGCCTGTGGTGGCCATGGCGGTTAGTGCTAGTAGTAGCTAACAGCACATACTGAGCTCAAATGGGAAGCTCCAGCCTTTAATACTGACAGTGATTTTTCTTGCGGGAAGAAAAACCCAGAGAAGGGCCACACTTGGGGACTCTGTGTGAATGGTCCGCTGTGTCTCTAGATGATCGGATCTGAATTTCAGGGCCCCCCTCCCCTCCTTGAGAATCTGCTGGGTTGGTAGCTGAAGAGCCGTGGAAGAGAAACCACTGACTTCCCATCAGTCCTAATGAAAAGGCAAAGGACAGCTCAGTCCCACCTTCCAAAGCGTGACCTTCAGACCGCTTGCAGCCTAGAAAGCAGCTCACGGCCTTCCTCGGCAGGCTTCAGGGTGAAGTTCATCGACCAACAGTTTGAGGGACTTCTTTTAAAAAAAAGACTTATTTTACATCAAGAGAAAGCTAAGCACTCTTTCTTAGGTGTTCGGGGCCCTCGGGGGGCTCTCTGTGGACTGCGGCTCCATGAAATCAGTCCTGCCTTCTCAGATTTCCTATCTGCCGCCTTTCTCCTGTGTTTCTTCAGAAATGACCACGATTGCCTGCTCCCTCAACCCTCCTAATTTCCCAGTCTGTGGTTGTCAGTGAAGGCTGTACTTTGAAACCTTGCAGAGGGAGTTTTCAGTGAGAGCATCTGCAAATTTGGGGCATTGCCCAGATCATGAGCTGTGTGTTTGGGATTCGGCCACGGAGGGTCCACAGTACCGAACCCCAGATGCCTCCTGGAGCCGAAGGCCCAGACAAGGAGCGCGCGAACGGGCGCGCCAGCTCACCCTCCCCGGTCCCCCTGAGCCGCATCCTGGCGGCTCCCCGGCTGCACTGCTCTGTGCGCTGCTTCTAATCGCTAGGGGCCCTTGGAGGTGAAAGCAGCTGTTTTGCTCTGGTTTTGTTTGGTCCTGATTCCCACCTGTGGTCAGTGGTGCTTTGTGTCTCAGACAGTCAAGAATGGAGCTTGTCTGTCTCCAGCCACAGCCTGAGGGCAGGATCTTGCATCTGATTCTGTCTGGAGTGTGGGAAGATGACAGAACCACTGGAAGCTCCGGGTGAATAATGCAGCTCATTATTTGTCTTTGAACCCTTGTGTAAGTGTATACAAGTCTGTCCGTGAAGCTTCAGCTATGAATGGCTCGGCTTTAAAATACCAGCCGGTGGGGTTACAAGGCAGAGTCCCCTGGGTCTGCTTTTGGCTCCCCTGCCTGGCTTTGAAGGGCCCGTTGTTTTCTGTGCAGTGCCACCACCCTGTTTGGAGCACAGCTACCTGCCTTTCCTCCTCTGACAGCCACATTCCAGAAGTGGGGACACCAGATCTGTGCGCAGAGGCCTTCTCTGCTTTTCTGCCCGGGGAGACCTTTGCAATCCCAGTGCGTGTAGTGTACATCGCAAAAGTGTGGTTGTTATGCCTAGGGCTGGTTGGAAGTCCTAGGTCATCTGTGAAAGGGGATGACAGCTGACAGAGAGGAGGGGGCACAGGGAACGGCAGACCGACGTGAGGTCCCTTCTCACTCAGGTCAGTCCAGGTGGGGATGGTGGGAGCAGGGACAGCTGTGCACCTTTAGTACCGTGTGTGTCTCCCTGCGGATGACCCAGTCATCAGAAGTCATGACAAAGGGGATGGTTCCTATCTTAGGTTTAAAGAGCAAGAAAGCATATAAGATTTTGAAGACATTCATTTAAAGTGGTAACAATGTTTAGAGTTTGTGGCAACAGCTTTTAGAATTCTTAGATTATCTCTACCAGTTTTAGAGAGGTAAGTTTCCCTTTTCACCAGCATCTGGGGCCATTTGCTTTTTATGTCCATTTTATGTTGAGAGTCCAGTCCTTCTACACCAGGTGTGCACTGTGGTGGCTCTTTAACACTTCTCACGCTCACTGGGGCAGAGAAGCAGCAGGATCCGCTGGAGAGAGCTCGCGCCGCTGAGGGCGGGCCTTGTGGGCGCGGCTCCCTGCCCAGCAGCTCTGCCCTGCAGCCTGCCCAGGCCCTTTGTTCGGGACATTCACAGACTTGGTGAGACTGTCTCAGTCTCATGGTTTCTGGGCAGCCTGGAACTTGAGAGAGCCCATCAGATGCTTGTGTGCTCTCGGTTTCAGGCATTCCACAGCCATGACAAGTAAATGCTGGCTCCCACGAAGGCCCGATCTAACAGAGTTATTGTTCCCATGCTGGTGCTTGATGTGAATCAGCCCAGCCTGAGTGATCAGAGATGCTGGATGCTTACCTGGTGACCTCATGCTGTTGTGAATTGTCAGACTGTGTTTCCAGACTCCAGGCAACTCTCACGACTGTGAGCTTGCTGTCTCCATTTCTGGTCAGAACTTCTCTCTCTTTGCAGGAGTAGAGAGGCCCTTCTATTTAAGCATTTGCCAGTTTATGTGCAAATAATGCCTGTTTTTTAAGCAAAGCCTTCCCCACCCCTGACTCGTTTAGGTCATTTTGCAGTTCCCTTCACAACACTTGCCACTTATAAATGTGAATGTTGCTGTTGCTTATTTGATAAAAGGCGGTTTTGCCCAAATCGTGGGCCTCAGCGGGGCAGAACTATGCATGGCTCTTGTGCTCACCTGTGTGCATGGTGACTGCCTAGTCTAGTGTTGCCCAGTAGGATTTTCCGTGATGACGGGGATGCTGTCTCTCTGTGCCATCCAGCATGGTAGCCCCACTCCTAGTCTGGTGCTTGTCACGTAGGTGTCAACTAAGTGGACGAGTGGGTTTACAGGAAACAAAGCCATACAATTTTTAGGGTAGGTGACATTCATGTTGCATAATAATTTGGGAGGAGCTTTGTTGTTGGAGGGGTGGGGGCAGGAGCCCCTTCCCTGCGACTCCCAAGGATCCTTTCTTCTGGTGTCTCCTGTCTGTCTTGGTGCACAGGTCATGTCCTGCTGGATTCCAGGCTGGCTTAGAGACTCTTGTCCTGGTCACCGGTGTCACGCTTGTGCTGTGAGCGTGATTGGGTGCTGGACTGCGTCTCTGGGAACACTTATTAGCAGCCCAACGTGGCATGGGCACGGCGGACAGACAGCACGGCGTTGGCGGCCCCAGCCACCTTTGCGTCCGTAGCATCTCCCTTTGTGCCGCGCCAGCTGGACGGCAGGCCCCAGGGTGTGCTGTGGCCTCACCCGCTTGCCCCTTGGAAACCCTTCGTACTGCCTCACTGCTGGTCTGCTAGCAGGCCTGGAGGCCCGGGTTTCGCACAGGGGTAGGTTGCCATCCTGCCCGTCGGCTGACGGCTTCCCGGGCGGCCCTTCCTGAATTCCCGGAAGGGGCGCTCCCACAGAGGTGGTTGCACAGGCACGGAAACACTTCCTGTAAAGGGTTCTTTTATGTTGTCTCTGCTATTTTAGTTGGCACAAACATTCCAAAGGAGTTGAGTCATTATAAATATATGTTGTGGGGGTTTTTTTTTATCGCTAAAGCTGTTAAAAACACCTTTTTCACCTCTGCCTCTGCCTCTGCGAAGGGCTGAATGCTGACCGCTG